TTAAAACAGCAAAAAATTTTTCAAAAAACGCCTAAAAAATTTTTCTTCTTTGCTCCAAAAACTCTATTTTTGATAATCCAATAAATTTCCAAATTTGTAAAAGTCAAACCTTGTGTTGACCTACATTAGCCAACTAAATTAAGCTAATTTTAATTAAACAAATTAAAGAATTACAAATCAGATTATTACTACTTTCCAAATTAGTTTCTTACAAATTCTATTTTTAAATTAATTTAACTTAATCTATTTTTAGCAAAATCTAAATTCATCATGTCACACTAGTGATACACCCCAATTATCACATCACATCTGTGATATATTCTTACTCATCATAACCCTTAATCATTACCTGGTAATATATTTTATTTGTCACACCCCCTTAATTGTCATATCCTATATTTTCCATAATTATCACATAATTTTCCAACTTTTAAAATTCTTATTCATCACACCCCCAAAATTAACCTCTCTTTTTTGAAGTTAGGATACCTTTTTATTAAAAATGCTGACTCTTACAAATACAGAACTAGACTCTTATGACATCGACTACTTCTACAGCAAATACAAAGATCGTTTTAGAGTTGGTATGTCTGAACTAAAGGAGGAATCTTTACGTGTTCTTCCTTAGGGAATTCAACTGACTACTTGCGAAGCCAACTTGAAAAAACAACATTATTTTAAAGTTTCAACCCAACTCCAAATTGCTACTTGTTTCTGCAACAAATATCATACTAGCTTTACCTCTCGCTTTTACAAAATTTCTCATCTAATCTCTACCTTTCAAGTTCCTATGGATATCTCATCTAATATCTCAGCTAAACAGTTTAACAGAATCACAGATGAACTACTATCTTTACCCATTCTCAAAAAACAAGATCTTCTCAACTCCAAAATTCTCTTCCCTCACTTCCAAACTGACCCTACTCCTTCTAAAATCACTCTATACTCTCAATACTACCATACATGTATTCTATGTAAGACCAAAAATATTCTTTGTGTATACCTCCAGGACTTCAAACATGTTCTGGATTATACACAAGTAGCTTTATTCAAGGACAAATTGATTCATAGAGCATGTTCACAACAATTACAAAATATTAAACTCAAACCTGCTAACCAAATTCAACCTCTTACCCAAACCTAACACGCTACTTTTCATCTAACCAAAATTCTTCTCTCAACAAAAGAGTTTAAAAAGACTCTTCTTAAACACTTTTTAACTAAACTCTCAAAACAACCTAAAAACTATCAACAAAAAAACCAACACAACAAAAATACTTTACAAGAAAATCTCGAAAAAGAAAATTTCCAAAACCAACAAAACAACTAATCCAACAAAAAACAACCAAAATACCAACTGAACTCCTCAAGCTCTGAAACTTCTAAAAAACCTAAACCAGAAACAACTTTTGACTGGCTTGCTAACTATCCTATAACTAAAGAAATGAAAACAAATACTAAACTCCAAACCAAACTTTCTTTCAATCTTTTTAACTTCATCAAATCTAACTTAACTAATTTTTCTTCTAAAAAAATATCTTTCAAATACCTAATCTACTCAATAACAGAACAATATCTAAAATTCTTAACAGATCTAATTTACAAAGCTAATTCTCAAACTAACTCAGTTGCAACTATTCACTTTGATCTTTTAGAATCGACTCTCAAAAACAATTAGAAGAATTTGATTTTTCAAAGGTATGATAAAGTATAATAATCTGTTATAAAATAATTTATTAAAATAAATAATTGTTTTAAATTTTAGGATTTAATACCTTATGAAATTAAAATTAAAGATAGTATAATAAACCAAGAATTTCGACCTTCTTTTGCAAATTTAATACCTGATTTTGATAGATTTATTCTTTGTGAAGGGTGTAAATGCTTTCCAAAATATTCTCCAAAAGCCGAATTATGTCGTTTATATTATTTCTATAATAAACATAGATTATCTTTTTATATAATAAATCTCAAGTTTTATAGAAGTGATAAAAATCAAAATGTAACAATACCAATAGAGCTAATTGATTCTATAGTTATTAACTTTTTTAAATTTGATGGCTATCGAGAATTTCAATGAGAAAGTATAGAATCATTTTTTAAAAGCAAGATACTTTGACAATTTTACTAACAGGTGCTGGAAAAACACTTATTTTTTCTGTCACTAGCATATTAACAAAAGCTTTAACAGTTGTTTTTACACTTTTAAAAGCAGTAATGGGATGTCAATTAGTAAGTAAATTAAATTTAGAGATATCTATACTTAATTTTACAGTACTTACCAATTTAAAATTGATATAATTTAAGCGTGAATTAGTAGAAATAGGTATTCCTACTGCAAAAGTATATGCCGCTTCAGATCAACCCTTAGAAGAACAAGAAAAGATTTTTGGTGAAGTTGCAGTAGGCATTACTAAAGTTTTGTAGGTGATACCTGAAAAGTTTATTGAAAGTCTAAAGTTTCGTAAATTTCTAAACAATGTGTCTCAAACACGTGAGGTGCAATTCGTTGTTAATGAGTCTCATTGCATTTTAGAATATGAACATTTTAGATTAGTATTACAGTATACTGATTTTTTTTAAAAAAAAACTTTAATAAAAATACACAGACCTGCGTGGGCAAAATTAGGACAAATAAAAGAAGAATTCCCACTATCACCAATTCTATTGTTAATAGCAACTTGCTCTGATGAAGAAGCATCAAAACTTGCAATAATTTTAAAACGGCCTAATTTAAAGGTAATTCGAAGTTCTAAAATATATCAACCTTACTTAGTATTCCAAACTCAGCCAAAACTATCAAAAAAAAAAATATTGTAGAATTAGTTTATAAAAATATCGAACAGAATCATGAAGGTGAGTAATTATATATATATCAACTCCTAATGAATATGTAGAAATTTTTAATAGTCTTAAAGAATATGTAGATTCTAGTTAGCTTGGCATATATCATGGAAAAATACGTAGTGCAGATCAAACAATAACTTTACGTTTGTGGAGCAATAAAAAATTAAAATATATAGTTGCTACAAATGCTTTTGGTATTGGAATACACATATCAGATATCCGAATTATTATTCATACTACATTTTCCCTATCACTAACAAATTTTGTACAAGAAGTTGGACGAGCTAGTAGAGATGGCCAACAAGCTAAAAGTATAGTTTTGTATTCTTATGCTGATATCTGTGAGTTGTTGATAATTGTTGGTACAAAAATTGAGAGGTAAAGTACAAGTATTAAATATGTAGTAAGTAATAAACTAAACAATACTATTTTTTATTTAGTTCTGATGAAACACAAACAATTCAACATAACTACTTAGAAAAGATGAAAAGAAAAATATTTGCAATAGCTTATATCTTTGAAGATTCTTATCAATGTCGTCAAAAAATAGCATATAAACCATTTAGGTAGCTAGAAGATCCTGAAATTCCTGAATATGGTATTTGTGATAATTGTAATAGATACATTATAGATAATATTACTTGGTATGATATTAGTAAAGACTTGATTCGAATTTTAGATACAGTAGACAAGCTATTAAAATTCTCAAATGATCCAATAACACAATTAGTAAATTTTGAACACGATGATATTGTAGATATTTTTATGAAAGCGAAAAACAAAAATGTAAAAGAAAAAAACTTAGCTTTCTTATAGGAAAACGATAGTAACAAAGCTAAAGATAATATTATTCGAACTAGAAATACATATTTGCATGCTATAGATTGGCTTTGTATAGAAGAATTATTAGTTCAAAATGTAGTAATTAGATCGATACGATCTGGTTCTTCGATGATAATTTATAGCTCTAATATTTCTGGAATAGTACCAGATGCAAGGCATAAAATACTTGAAAATTTGTGGTTAGAAGCATTTAAATCATAGTATATATATAAAAAATTTTAATTGACTAATTTTAAAATTACTATTTTTATCTTAGTTATACAAATGATTTACAACCTGCAGTTGTACCGTTATTTTATTATATTGCAGATCACATGAAATACCCTACCCTTAAATGATAACTGGATTAGTCACACTTTTAAGATTAATTAGCATTATATAGCTTAGAGAATAGTAAAGAATATATGTATTTATATTTTAACCTTCTTAATAAATCAAAAAGTTGTGGCATGACTGCTAAAAAAAAAAAAAAAAAAAAAATATAAATTAATATATATTCTATAACAATAATATATGAGATTTTGTCTTGTAAATAACCTTATAGAGTATAGTAATTACTATATTCTATAAGGTCATTTTCAAAGCAAAAATCTCATATATTTTATTACATATAAAATTTAAACTAACCCATTACAAACAAATATATTGCAAATTCTTCTATATTTGACTCAACTTCATAATCTTTTCTAAGACATTATCTAAAATTTGATGAGCAGAATGTTCGATATGCTGCACTATCATTCTGCTGATCTAGCTTAATAATATTATTTTTATACATTATTGAATTATGTTTACTTATAAGATTTAACAAATGTTGAAAGGTCTGGTAATCTTAGTGTAATAGTTAGGTTGCCAGACTACCATGCAAGAGGTCTGGAGTTCAAATCTAACTGTCGACGAATTTGAATAATTACTCAAAACTTTGTACCCAACTTATGGTAAACTCTGTTCGTTTCTGGGGTTGTAACCCTGTAAATCACATTGTACTAATATCATCCAGATAATAGAAGTGTGACAAGGCATTTGGCGAGACATAACATTATATGAATAAATCTTGATAAGATCTACGGGCAAAGGACCTGCATAGTAGAAATCCCAAGTTGTTGAAGTAGTACAGACTTTGATAGTTATACTAGCTAATGCTTAATTCAGAAAGGAAACTATTAACAAAAAATGCAAATTGAGTCAGGTACGCATAAATCTGTTCTACAGAGAGGATCAGTAATACCAACTTGGCTTGGCAGCTAACTGAATTGAGAGGATCTGCTTCGTAAAATATCCAAGAAGATAAATACAGAAAACTAGTGAAGAGCCATAGTAGGAACTAGAATTGTACAAACATCTACAAGGGTCTAAGCTAGGTAAATTTGTAAAATAGGTATAGACCACTCTAGTAGGTATGTTTTGAGGTTAACTAGCTTTGCGGTATCTACAATATGTTAGATACAATGTATTCTAAGAGGACCTAAGCTGTTCTGAATAAATAGATCTGTAATGAGCTAGCTGACTTAAGCAGTTAGGTATTGTGGTAACGTTAGGTTGGATCTGTATGGGTTAATGAACAGAGTGTTTAAATAGATAACTCACAGACAGATTACAGGTATAGTAGCATAGTATAGAACTAATCAAGTGGTCTAATCGCCTGTGCAGCAGACTACTTAAATTAGACAATGACTAAAGTTGTACATGTGGCATGTTGTATACTCTTCATGTAATTACAAATAGTAGAGACTATCAATGTATATCCCATATACAATTCTAATAAAATTCCTTCGGCAATGTAAGCCACCTTAATAACACAAAAAAAAAAAAAAAACAAATATTGAAATTGTGTAGATGTTTTCCCAAATGTTAAGAGACATGCTCCTGACATAATAGCATTTCGTGCAGTTTTTTTTGCATGCTTAGAATCTTGTACACAAATTATAGGACCAACTCCATCCAAAATAGGATATGAAAAGTTAATATTTAAATCAGATACACATATTGTTAACTTTTCTAAAGTCTGAGTATTAAGAATTAATTGTTATATCTGAAACTTTGTAATTGCATCATCTGATTCTAATGACAAAATATGAAGTTGTAGTTGTGGCACTATTTCCTCAATTAATTTTCTATATAGCTTTTCAATAACTTCAACAGTATCTGATCCTTTATTTGGAATAAGAGCAATAGCAACTAGTAGAAACTTTAGTAAAGGTATCTTTAAATTATAAATTATTAAATTAGTATTTATTTAATAATTATTGTCATAGATTATAGTAAAATTTAACCTAACATAAGTCTAAAAAAAAAAAAAATTAAAAAATACACTTCAAATTTTCATATTAAAATAGGATAAATTTCACTCTAATCTATAATTATTAATCTATACAATAGTATGTAGCTCATTGCCTTAAAAATATCTTATAGAATATAGTAACTACTATATTGCATAAGTTATTTTTAAGACAAAGACCCATATATCATACCTGTAAAAGATATACACAAACAGATTTGGCAATTTCATTTGATGATTTAATTTTTGCAATTACTTTTGGAATATCTGAGTAAATGTTTATATATATCTCTTCTTTCGAAAAAACTAATCCAGTAATATATTCAAGTGTAGAGTTATATTTTAGTTGTAGCTTCAGCTTGGTATTATCAGTCATTGCAACAATTAGGCCATCATATTGAATGGTATTAATTAATCATTTAAAATAAGCAACAATTTCAAAACAAAGATCTGAATTAGTTAAATAATCCTCATTATTACAATGCAATTTTCTAATAATCATTAATAAAATAACAAATAAATTAAAATAAATACAGTTAAATACAATTCAGAGATTTTTATTGTTCAAACAATGAAAATCTCTAAAATCACATAAATCTGAATACTCTACTCTATAATATCGAATCTACACTATAACAAACTTATTTTAAAAAATTATTATAGAGTTAGTATAAGAATATAGTAAACTTAATAATACCTGAGTGATTGAATTTCTCTTCCTTCTAAATTTTGATGAAATAAGTTTAGGGCTCTTGGACTATTACTTCCTAAAATAACTAAAAAATTTGTAAACTCTTCGCTATACTTTATATTTTGTTTGCTTTTATCATTAGTTTTTCTTTCAGCAGCATCACTTATCACTTTGCAAAGTCCTAAAAAAACAGGTGAATCCTTAAAAGCTCCATTTATAGCCTTATCTGATAATATAATCCAAAGATTTAATGTTTGATTTTCTTTATCATTGTTAAGTAAATTCTACATCTCACGAAGGTCAAGATTTTGAAGATAACTTTTCAAAGAGTTATTTTCCCAATAAAATTTAGAAGTAAATTTAATATTTTTTAACAATGAAGTTTTTATTAAAATTCTATTATAAAGGTTTTTATCAAATTGAATATAGTGGCATTCATTATATATATCACCTTTTTCTGCAAATCCTGAACACGTCTTAGTATGCATAGTATTACCTGTATTTTTAGAACTATTTAGAAATTAATAATTATACTTTTTTAAATTAATGTAATAATAATAAACTATAGTAATCTGCATAACTTACTATTTCGATCTATTTATCAAGTAAACTCTGCATATAAAGCTGATTTAACTTTTGCTTTTGATCATAACTTAGCTTTTTTCTATTGAATTTTTGAAAAAATAATTTTGAAAACATTTCATATGCAACAACTTCTATATAACATGAACTACCAAACTGTGCTGGAGTATGTTTAATATAATTTAAAATTTGCTCAGATTAAAGATCTTAGCATACTGAACATTTTTTAGACTGTATTTTATTGCTTAATAGTTCAGGAATTGCTAATGCTAATGTATTGTCATTCATTTCAACTTCTTCTGCTTCATCTACTTGTAACAAATCATCATTGTCCATATTGTAATAAATGTCTAAATCCTACTCATCTCCTTCACTATCTGAACTTACAACTATATTAGGTTTGAAAAAATTATAAATTGATCTTTGGCTTTCTTTAGCTTTACAACCAGAACTTTTAACATATCTATTCAGATAATCTTCTTCCTATTTTCAGTACAGCGTAATTTTTTTTCTGCATATATATACAACCTTTTTTAGATTAACAATGTGAGCACAAAACTCATGCTTTAGCAATTATTCTTTACTATATTTCTACCTATATATTTTTTTTGTTTTGATTTTTTTTTTTTTTAATATCTGATATTAGTCTGATAATGTACTGTAATAATGTTCTAATGTCCTTTCATTTGTATATCCCAACTACGTTCACAATTCTCAATTATGCTCTAATTCTAACAATATATTTGCAATTCTTTCACTAGGTATTATATAAGCAGGTACTTTGTGATACCTTATCTCAAAGTTTTGACTAATCTAGAATATTACTTTTTTTTTTTTTTTATATTTTGTTTTTTTTATTTAACAATATCTTTAATGCGAACTGCTACTTGACACTTGTATTTACAGCTTTTAACAAGTAAGAGTCTGTCTTGCTTTATACCTCACGTTTCTATTACTTTATACTTACTTGGCTTTATTATTAATACTAGCTTATCATGCAATTACTCTACTATACTCAGCGCTCACAAAGATAATTAAATTTTTAAGAAAGAAATAGTTATTCACTTTTTTTGCCTTATATATTAATTTAATTTTTATTTAG